TTTGTAAAAGTCTATAAACATTGCAGTATCTTTCAATATCTTAATAAAGATACATTATTGTAATATGATTGTAAATTAAAAAAAAAAAAAAATTATTCTAATTATAGTATCATTAAAATTAAATTGTTAATTAATTTATTTATCTTAGTTTGTCTCTAAATTTTAAGTGCAACTTTGAGAATGATTTGTTACTCTATTTATAGTTTGAATTAATATATTTATACTATTAACATTATTGTTATAGTTTATTACTGTAGATTACTATTTTTAATTCATATCAAGCTTAAAATCTAAGTATTTCATTTTATTTTTAATTCCTGTCATTATAATTTTGATAAGACTTTCATTCAACTATTTTTTTTTCTATTATTTTTTATTTTATTTTTTTTTATATTTCTTGCATTTTTTGTTATACAGTATAGAGCTTCATAAGATTTATTATCTTATTTTTTTAAAAAATTTCTTGAATCTTTTCTTATATTATTATATTTTAATATTTTTTATTTTATACTTTTATACTAAAATAATTCAGGACTTTTTTTTTTACTATATAGTATTTATTTTTTGATTATAGTTTCAATTTTTTTTTTTTTATATTTTAGCTCTTTCACTTTTATTAGTAGACTTCTTTTAACTAATTTTATAAAGAAGTTGATCACATTTTGACTTTTATTATATATTTTTCTTATAAACTTTATTATTAATTTTTTTATTTCTCATTTTTCTCATTTATCTTTTGATAGAGTTTTGATAAAATATTTTTTTTATTTTCTTTTTTTTACTTTCTTTTTGATTTATAGAATTTATTGTATTATTTTTATTTTCTTTAACTAAAATTTTTTAACTTTATTTTTATAAAGTAGATATTCTATATAATTACTAGAATTATTTGAAAAATATACTTTTTTTTTTAAGGAACTAACAGGTCAAGTTAATGGCAAGTTAGTTAAAAAAATATAAAATGATTTAAAATCAAAATAAGAAATTAATTCTTTAAATAATTAATAATAAAAATTTAATTTAATCAGATATTTTTAAATAATAAGCTATTCAATAAATTTATTAAAAACTTGAGTTTTAAGAAGTTTAATATATACAGTAAATGATATATGAACCATAGTAATAATCTTTGTAATCTTTGTAATTAATTTTGTATATTATTTTATTAAAGTCAATAAACATGGTTAAACCTTTATTTAAAAAAAAAAAAATTAAAAAATAAATAAAAAGTTTATATTATTATTATTATTATTATTATTATTATTGAAATGGTGACTTGGCCTTGTTTTATTGAATTTTCAAGGATATAAGTAAATTTGCATACACAAGAAAATGTAATGGCCAATAAAAAAATATTTCTAGGATTTATGAGATTATTAAGATTATATACTATTACTACTACTTCAATATCATAGACTGGTTACTCTTCAAAAGCTTCTTTAGTCAAGAATATGTTACCTGTTTTTTAATTACTTTCAATATTCTTATATTGTATTATTCTAAACATTCCATTCATTGAAAGACTTATTGTCAAGAAAACTTACTTGAATCAATCTAATTTATATATCGAAAAAGAAGATTTATCAATTCTCTTAAACTTTTTTAATGAATGTATCAGAAAAGACATATTATTCCAAAGAAAAAATATCTTTCTATTGTTTATATCTATTAGAATAGCTCAACTTTGTTATAGGAATTGATAAGCTGAATCTTTGTCTATTTAGAAAAACTGAAAGGAAGCTATTTGACAATTAATGATAAATGACTACAACTCTAAAAACAGTTGTGATATCTTGTAATCTTTATTATAATTGAATAAACTCTTTTGATTAAAACACTGTATAGACAAAGTGATATTCTATATCTATTTATATCATAGATATATAACTTATAATAAACTTCAAGTTTTTATAAAATCAAGAAAATATATTTGAATATATGAGATAATCAGTAAAAGCTTATTTACATTCTTTTACTAATGTGTCTTTACTGAATTAATCAAAAAATAAAAAACTTAATGCTATTCAAAATTCAGGATTAAATTAGGATGGACAAATTTTTCTAGAAAAGATTAAGAACAAGTACTATTAAAATTAATATATAACAAGAAAGTAAGTGATTGTGTTCTAAAGAGTCTCTTATTATAAAAACAACTCTATGGTATTTTTCTATTAAGTGAAAGAACCAAAGTACTTTAGTTTTTCTTACTTTTAAAACTTTTTTGTTATTGATAGGAAAGGTATTTTATAACTTTAGATTAATAAAAATCATGTTTTTGTTTGAAAAAAAGTATTCACAAGAGGAGTAAAAAGTGTGATGACAACTTTTGAGCTTCTTTTCAAGTTGGTTTAAGGAAAGTATTAAGACTTTCTTAGTATAGAAGTATATGAACTTCTTGTAAACATATTTTTTATATGTAATCAGAAAATTAGTAAAAAAAGTTATAAATAGTTTATAGATAGCTTATTTAAAAAGATAATATATTTGAATCTGTTACATTTTATATACTAATTAAAGTATAATAAAGAATACTTTTAAGGTAACCTAGCTATAAATTAAAACAAAAAGCTTTAATATTATAAAGACAAAAAAGACAAAAGAATAATATTACTGTAAGTAGCACTGAATTCGATTTTGTAATATAGCTCTACCCAATCACATGAAAGACTCGCATAAAACGTCAAAGAGCCACGTGTTTGCTCTTTCCAAAAATTATTACAAATAACATTAAAAACAACGTAATATCTCACGCAGATAAAATGGCTCGTTCGTTGTACGTTTCTGGGCTTTCTCGTCGAACAACGTGAGAACTATTTATCCTTTATCTTTACTAGACGTGCAAACGAACATGTTTGGCTTAATAATTGATCGACCATAGTATTGAAGACCTTGAGCCGGTTTTCAAGGAGTTTGGCCGACTCAAAGACGGTAATTGTTACTTTCATGCGCTATGTTATAAAAATGAGAAAGGAAAAAGTTTACGCTGATATGTCGCTACTTTGTTTTTAGTGTATATACCCAAAGATTTTCACACTAGAGAACCAAGAGGGTTTGCGTATATAGAGTATCCTTAAAGACATCTTTTCTTCGCAAGCAAGATCAACTGCCGAAAAAGATACAAGTTTAACCATCCTAGAGACAATTGATTGTTTTTCAAGACTTTTCCATCGCTCCTTGACAAGAAAACGCGGTTTTTCTTCTCCCTTCACAAGATATTACGATGAGCGTGACTGTGAAGAAGCATACAGACGTGCTAACATTTCATTACACGGCCGGCAACTCACCGTAGAGTTTGCACGTGGCTCAAGGAAAAGTATGCACATCCCTTCTTAGGTTGTTTATTTGGCTATCTTCAAAAAATATTATCTCAAGATCCTTAAAATTTCCAGCCCCGCGTGAAATGAGAGGCAAAGATGGCAACCGGTAAGTTAATCAAAAAATTATCCATTAAAATTTCGTAAACTCTGATCTAATTTATTTTATTGATAGATATTCGCCACCTAGGCGTGGAAGATATTCCACCCCTGAAAATTCCTATAGACCTAGGTAAAAATTTGAGAGATTTTGTGTATAATATGGAAATGTCCATTTGATTTTTGATTTTTTTTTTTTTTTTCTTTAGAAGATATAGTCGCAGCCCTAGCCGGAACCGTAGCCGATCTAGATCAGATTATAAAAGATACGACGACGAATATGATAGAAAGCGTAGTAATCGATATCGGTCTCGTTCTAGGTCAACTTCTCGTACTCCACCAGAACGTCGTAAAAGGTCAGAGCAAGTAAATGGTCTCGCTAAATCTCGATCTAGATCTCCTCACGCTGTACCTCCTGCAGTAGAGGAGAAGGAGGCGACTGCTTAATATCTGACATGCGGGATCATAGGTACTAGTATTGAAATGCGCGTTTCTTTTTAGTATCACGTGATATCTTTTAATGCAAGATTTGATTTAAGCCATATTTTTTAATCAATTACATGCTATTGTCTGCGTTTGTTTGTTTGTTTGTTTTTTTGCAAACATATGTATAGTTTTCTGTTTTTTTTTCCTGCGAAATCATCTGGACCTTGGCTAGGTCTTTCGTTTTGCTAAAATAGTGGCATTATTATTTCTTTTTAGTTTGATATATAATAAATACTCTAAGTGATTAGAGATAAAAACCTTTATTTTCAATTTTATGGATTCTTTAAATGATATCAATGTTTGATCGAAAATTATTGATAATTATGTATATCTTTTTTAGTAATTTATAAATTCGCAGTATAGAAATATTTATTTTAATTATTTTTAAATAGGATTTTTATAATAAATTTTAATCTTGAAATATAAAAATGAGTCAATATTAAAAAAATATATTATATATATAATTAAGGATTATAGAAAAATTATTTATATAGATATAAAAATTTAAAAGTTTTATTTGATTAAATAAAAATTGTTTAATGTATAAAAAAAAAATAAACAAATAAGAATTAAATTAAAATTTTAAAATAATAACTATTTAAAAATTACCTACAATTGTTCTTTATTATTCAAATCATTGATTTATAGCATTTCCTGACTTTTGTTTCTATTAAAATGAAGAGCTATAAATTTTACCCCTCAAAAAAGGACATAAGTGATTTGTGAAATTTTATTTGTTAAATACTTTAGGAACCTATCATTACTTTCAAGACACACTTAGTCCCAACTTTCTTTGGACAGTGATTTTTTATCCACTTGTGATAAAGAGATACTTATAATGAATCCCAGGTTCTTATGTGATTTAGTAGGAACTGGATTGTATTGTTTTAATATAATACCTTTCAATAGTCACATCTAATTAAAGAAATTTTATTAATATATATGTTTCATTATCCAAAAGGTTATATTTTCCAATAATTTTTTTGTTTTGTAATGGTTAGAGGGTCTTAAAAGTAATAAGAATTCTCATCAATTGTAATATTCTTCAATCACTTTTGAGGAAATACATTTTCAACTATAATCAAAGAATTGGAGCTTAACATGAACTAAAGACTATTTGATCTTATTGCTTAACTGGTATAAAAAGGAAACCTTGGTCTTGAACTTTATCTGACTGAGTTAATAGAAAAAAAAGATCATAACTTGAACAAATAATAGCTTTTTCATCATTTAGGGACTTTTTGCTTATATCTTATTGATTTCATAAAACTTAATCTATAGATAATAATAAGTTCCTAAAGTATTTAGCATATAAAATTTTACAGATCACTTATATTCCTTTTTGAGGAACAAAATTCATAGCTCTTTATTTTAATAGAAACAAAAATCAAGAAATACTATAAATCAATAATTTAAATAATGAAGAATAACATCAGGGAATTTTTTTGGCAAAGATCTCTGGAGATTTTTGGATGTAAAACTCTAAAGACACTCTATTATTATTGGAAGTCTCTGAAGCAGAAATTTATATATACAACTCTGGAGAATTTCAAATGTATTAAATTGTAATAAAATAATTTTACATTTTATTAAAATATTTATTTTTAAAATTTTATTTATTGAAAATTACTTTTGTTACATATTATTATTAATCAATTATATTTACATCACTTATTGCTGAAGTAGACCTTTCTATTCCTACATTTTCTAGTTGCAATTTCAGATTATTTTCATTATTTTCTACTTCTTTCAAAGTACTTTAAAATTCAATATCTTTATGTTTATGCATTTTTTGATCTTTATTGCTTAAATTTCCTTTCATAAATCCAATTTTCTTTTTAATTTTTTCATAAAATATTTTATAAGTAAACAAATAACTCAATAATACTTCGAAGAATTTTAAAACTTACCTTATTTTTTTCTATTTTGTTTTTAATTAACATTTCATTAATTAAAATACTTTTATTA